CAACCATTCTCTTAATATATGTATAACTATTTTTTGAATATGTGTTAAGATAACTGACCGATCGACTAACCGTTCAGCTGTTGAGCACGATTACGGAACGATCACCTCTTATTTCACTCGAAAATTATTTGTTCTTCGCAGTTTTTATGGCATTGTAGACGGGGAGAAACTTTCGCAACAGGTTCCACCATCTTCCATTTTGCATTTAAAGCGCGGTATAGCTTCGTATTCCATATTTCACTTAACAATCATCAACTGTGTCCTCGCGTTACCGTTTCATCCGTCATTACACATCCACACATAATATATTGTTTAACTTTTATTTTCACTTGCAAAATTTCATTGAACTGCTTCATCGCCGCAGCTGATAGCTTCTCAACTAACCACCTGATTTGACCCAAATGTCTCTTCTGACACTGGAATAAAATTGATCAGTTTTTGAGAGCTTTTATGGCGAATTCGCATTTTCCGAGTTCGTTATAATTGACTTCGAGAAAATTGAAAAACTATTGAAAAAATAATTTGGTTGCAGAAAGCTCAACAAATCATCTAAAATAGCGCACGTGTACTTCCACTTCAATTTTAACACGCGTCAACTTCTTCCTTAAAAAGATGTCGTTATTCTCGCAATATTGTTCACTGGCTTTCTTCGCACTCACCACATCAATTGGAGCCCAGCAAATGAGCCACGTCGACACATCGTTTCTGCAGCAGGTGAAGTGAATTTGCGATGTAATTGAATTTACTATTCCAAGTTTCTTTTTCTGAATTTTGTTTTTCTGAATGCAATTCAATATTTCTGATTGCTCAGAACTGCGTCATCGATTTGAATTATCGAACGTCTGTAAAAATCGAACGAATTCCGAACGAGAAAACAACTGAGAATCCATTTTGTCACTATGTTTCCAGAAGCAATTTATCGTTTGAATTTGTTAAGACCTGTTTTGCAATACACTTTTGTGCTGCTGCAATATTCGCGATCCCTAAAATGGAAATTATTTCGGAATCCGAATGTCTGTTACAAATGAATTCATCTCTGTGCAACTGTACATTAACTGGTGATGATCCTAATGCAAAATGCAATTTTAGTCTGCACAATTCACGCCGATTGCTTCAGCCGGGCCGTTTCAAACACTCCCACCACAAACTGCAGCGAAAATTGAACCGAGGGCACCATACGATCTTCAGGCTTCAGCATCGATGCCATACACAAGACCACCTTTGAAACCGTCATATTCCATCAACTTCTGCAACACGGTATTTCAAATTTCATTCTTCACACTTCGATGTCAAGAAATGTGATCGATGTCAAGAAATGTGATCGCAATACCTGCCGACCACATCTTTTTCTTGTAGAGCTGAGACAGCAAAAAAATCGCTAACACTCAGAAACAACAAAAAATATCACCGAAACATGATTTGCAAGGAACATTACTTATCATCGAGCTAAGCAATCTTTTTCGTCCACGCACGATATTGACTGATCAGAGCAGCCCTTTTTATGAGGCCAATTCAAAGGGATATTGCGATTGATTGTGTTGCTTCCGAAACGGCGAATTTTCACTCGTTTGGACATTCCACTGCAATGCATCGGTCTGGTTTTGCAATAAATCACATTTAAATGATGCTAGAGCAATGTGATCACTGAACAGAATTTTCCCTGACTCAACCCTCCAAAAACATGTGTTCATCATAGTTGGAGATCAAATTTGAGACTATGCGCTCATTTCAGGACGAGTTTCCAGATGTCGTATTAGCGCATTATGGACTTCAAAGAAATGGACGTTTCGTTTGGAATTCGTCTTGCTCTCAAACGTTCTTCCAGTGTTCGTTTAACGAAACATATCCACTGAGGTTAGTGCAATAGTCCTCTTCGGTTCAGTTTTTTTCTGCGATTACGTAGATACTTAAAAATGTGTTTTAATTTTTCTCATGGATATTTGTTGATGCTTCATCTGCGGACCACTCATTCCAATATGAATCAACAGAACAAATGAAGAATGCGTAGAGAATTGAAATATAATCGATACCTTCCGAGAATACGTGAAGCATTCCGACTGGAACGGATGCAATAAGAATAAGTTAATTACAGTTGCTCAGATTCATCGCAAGCTTTCGATGGAACTATAATCAGCTGCAACTATAAGCGAAGTATGAAAACGTGT